TCCACTCTGCGTCCACTAAAAACGATGGAAGCCAAAAAACCACCACCGACAGCCTCTTAAAGCCGCGCCACCAATTTCATATAGGAGCTCTTAATGTTAGGACACTTTGCCAAATAGGACAACAAGCATCACTAGCCAAGACCCTGGCATCACGAGCCATTGATGTATGCTGTGTTTCAGAAACACGCATACAAGACCCAAGTGTGGTTATTCACCTAACCCCACCTGGCCAACAGGTTGAATCTGCAAAATTCACCTTGAGGGTGTCAGGAGATGCCACAGCTAGTTCACGAGGATTAGCTGGCGTAGGGATAGCTTTGAGTACTAGGGCAGAAAAGACATTGCTTGACTGGATCCCGGTAGATAGCCGAATGTGTGCTGTCCGCCTGAACGGATCAGTAAGAAGGAGGAAGGACTGCACTACTCGCCGATGCCTTTTCGTAATCTCCGCCTACGCCCCCACTGACTGCAGTTCAGATGAAACGAAGGATGAGTTCTACCAAAAGCTGTCTAGTTTGGTGGAAAGGCTAAACGCTCAGACATAGTCGTTCTAGCTGGTGACTTTAACGCTCAAGTAGGGAAATTGTGTCAATCTGAGAAGGATGTCGGTGGCACCTATGGAGTTCCGTGCCAGCGAACCGACAACGGTGACCGTCTCCTACAGTTCTGCTCTGATAATCATTTGTTTCTTGTAAGCACTAACTTCAAACACAAGGAGAGACACTGTTTGACTTGGAGACCCCCTTCATCAAACCAACGCTGGACACAAATAGACCACATAGCAATAAGCTATCGTTGGCGTGGGTCGGTAGGAGATTGTCGCTCCTTCTGGAACACGTGCGTAGATACCGACCATGCACTGGTCCGCGCTCGGGTGTGCTTACGACTGAACGGACGTAGGAAACAGCTGGCGGTAAAACCATCACGTCCCCAGCTCGATCAGGAAACTAAATCCGTATTTGAGGAAGAACTAGCTAAACACATATCTGTGTTCGACAGCTGTGCTCACCCTGAAGAAGCTTGGAAAAATATCCAGGCAGCCATAGATACAGCTGTAAAAGCTGTGAATAAGGTAAACCCAAAGGTGAGTAAAAACCACTGGATCTCCACCGCCTCATCCGAACTGATAGATGCTAGAAGACTTATTCCGGCGAGCTCCGAATTCAATGAGGAGCGAAAGCTGCACAAGAGGAAACTTACGAAAAGTCTCCGCAAGGACCGTGAACAGTGGTGGGCGACAAAAGCCAAAGAGATGGAGAAAGCTTCGAGGATAGGCAACACCAGGCAACTCTTTGGACTCATCAGGGAAACGGGTGGGAGAAGACAAATCATTAGTGAGACAATCTCGGAAAAAAATGGCACTATAATTAGCTCACAGGATAGACGACTGGATCGTTGGAAAGAGCATTATGAGGAGCAGTTTAATTTGCCCACAGCCACGCTCAACCTTCCGAGCATCCAACACCTCCCTGAATGGGATATAGACACAGGTCCTCCGTCACTAACTGAGGTTACTAAAGCTGTCACCAATCTGAAACTAGGCAAAGCAGCGGGACCTGATGGAATGACTCCAGAGGTATTTAAGTACGGTGGAGACAGCTTACTGTCTGGATTAACTGAGGTACTAGGCAGCGTCTGGGAATCAGAAGAAGTCCCATCGGGTTGGTGTAAGTCACTGATTATCCCCATATACAAGAAGGGAGACAAGTCTTCCTGTGATAATCACAGAGGGATTAGCTTGACTAATATAGTATCTAAAGTCTTAGGCTCAATAATCATGCGTAGACTGAGTGGTGCTCGGGAAGCACAAACACGAGAGAGCCAGGCAGGCTTTAGACCAGGAAGAGGGTGTATTGATCATATCTTCACCCTCCGACAGATTCTAGAACATAGGCATTCCTACCGGCGTCCAACAGTCATTATATTTCTTGACCTAAAGGCAGCATTCGACTCTGTCGATCGAGAAGTTCTCTGGAGATGCTTGGCTGTAAAGGGAATTCCGAGAAAATATATTGCACTGATTAAGGCACTCTACTCACACTTATACAGCCAGGTGAGGGCTTACGGCGAGCTGTCATCTGAACTGATGACGACCAGTGGTGTCCGTCAAGGATGCCCATTATCTCCTTTTCTATTCAACTTCATCATAGATGTGTTAATGGACTTAACCCTAGGTGACTTCAGCGACTCAGGGATTGACTTGCTACCAGGGAATAATCTCGTTGACTTGGAATATGCAGACGATATAGTCCTTCTAGGCGAAGACGCTGACGAAATGCAGAGTCTTCTAAACACCTTGAGCCGCAATCTACGAATGTTTGGCATGCGATTCGCTCCCGCCAAATGCAAGATGATGTTACAGGACTGGACTACATCGACGCCTAGTTTAAAAATAGGAAGTGAAGTGGTAGAGCACGTTGACCGCTTCACTTATTTGGGAAGTACCATCAGCCCCAACGCCAACGGTTGATCTCTGACGAAATCTCAGCACGAATACAAGGGGCTCGTTTCGCATTTGTTAGTTTACGCCGACTCTGGCGTAGACGAGATGTTCGACTATCGACCAAAGGGCGGGTGTACTGCTCATCAGTCCGCTCCGTCCTCCTTTATGGTTGTGAGACCTGGCCACTGAGAGTGGAAGACATGAAAAGACTAGCTGTCTTTGATCATAGGTGCCTGCGTTCTATTTCCCGTGTAAAGTGGCATAATAAGGTGAGCAACATTGAGGTTAGGCGTAGAGTTCTAGGTAAACAGGGGAAATCAATCGACGAAGTCGTGAAGCTACAAAGACTGAGATGGTTAGGACATGTGTTACGTATGCCAAGCCATCGCCTCCCTCGACGAGCAATGTTAGCGGATATAGGGTCAGGCTGGAAAAAAGCTAGCGGCGGTCAAACAAAAACTTGGCATCAGTCAATGAAATCCACAACAGTTGGTCCAGGCTGGGGTCCTCGGGACGGTAAAAATCTATGGTTGGAAACAATTGGTGACATGGCTCAAAATCGTTCTCAATGGCGCAGATGCATCCACTCCTTGTGACTTATGATCTCCAATGAAACTGTTTTGTTCTTCGTTATTACTCCTTTGTCTCATACCTCTGCTCACTGTTTCGATTATGCTTTTCTTGTACTTTCTTCTCTTGCTTCGCGTGCTACACGGAGTGTGGCGACTTGAACTTCCGCACATTTGTGCAAAGTTCTATGTCGAAAACAGACAGAGAGACATTACACAACCAGGAACCAACCCATCAGGGATCGAATTCAGAACCTTCAGATTACAAGTCCAAGCTTATCAAATATTCAGTGCCACTTGAGCCAAATTCATTGACCCATGAATTCTAACTTCTGCTAATTCACCATACTGGTACAGCTGGCAAAGTCATCGATAGGTATTTGTCCTCACAACTAACCTTCTGGACCCCACTGGTCAGGCGATTTCACCCTCTCGTCAATCACTAGTGAACATCAGATTAATTTTCAAAAGTTTGTTTGTAAGATTTGAACACTGGTTGGGCCGTGGGTGTCTACTGATGAAGAGTCCCAACTCGGAAAGAAACAGCTGTCCTGTACTCACTGCTAGTTTTCAATAGCTCTCTAACTGATATCAGGCCATGATCAAACTTGAAAGAAATGAAATTTAGCAAAAATATTCATTCAGACATTTATAAAACACAAAATAGTTGAGCAAAGAATATTCTTTTCGATAAATTCCTCCTCTGGCTCTGCAATTATATATATGTTAATATACATAGAATATTCTAGATTAGTAGTCAATAACAATATTAGCGTTTTTTTAATTTAATATCGATTTGTAATGTGAGATCACAGTTTAATTACATTAAAGATGCTTAAATTATAATAATAATAATAAAGATATAGTAGCGATTAGTATATCAACTGAAATTACGGAAATTTCTACAAAAATTGGGGATCATTCGAACCTAGATGGCCAATGTAAGGATAATGTCTGAGCTAACTTTTTTTGGATGCACAAATCAGGCTTCTTAATGTGGATCCCAATGGCTAGCCTCAGCACTATTTAGTAGTTGAACTCTTAAGGGGAAATGAAGATTTGTTGGTATGCGGTAAATGACCCTGAAAGCCTGGTTAACGTCAATCTTGTGTTTTGTATCAACAAGATGAGACAGAAAAGCGCTACGAATAGATTTTGTTTATCCTTTACTTAACTACGAAGAGTGATGTTCGGAAATCTGACGAGAAACACGTCTAATTTTACTGAATGGCCCATGTAACTGGCTTCACAGGAGCAGTTAAATTGGTAGATACACATGGAAGAGGCGAAATTAGGCAGTTTGTCTTTTACTCCCGAACGCAAAAGAGAAGTGGTTTTGAAGACACAGCATAATTCAGCATCAGAGAATGCTCTTTTTACAGCATTTCTAAGGCGTTGTGTTAGTATCTCGCTGATGTTGTCCCCAAGGAACTGCATTTGTAAGAATAAGGCCTTTTTGGAACTGTTTGTAACTTGGGCTGCTTTGGTTTTAGATTCATATTCTTATCAATAAACTTTTCAGGATAACCATTTTCACTTAGCAACTGTTTAATATTATTAAGTTCCTCATCAAGACATTCGTCCGAGCAGATTGCTCTTGCTCTTTGAAAGAAGCACTTCATCAGATTGCGTTTGTATTTCAAGGACACAAAGCTGAGATAATGAGTATACTAACCCGTCGATGTAGGTCTTCCATATACACTTCTTCGCATTGTGCCATTCTCTAGAAATTTCATTTCTACAAACAAATATTTGAAACTCCTATTATTGTAACTGTTGTCAATATTAGACTATATCATCATCAGGTAGCTTAGAAGAAATATTATAAAGTTAAAATTGATCCTTGATTGTGTATTGAAGAGTGTAACTGGAAATTAAATTTAAGACAAGTGCTTCTTCGTTGAATGTACTTTCATCTCAATGAACGCAGTGAGTGAGACAGGGAGACAAGTTTATAATATACGTCAGTAAGACAACTTAGAACTTACAGGGGAAGAAGAAGAAGACTCGGACAATGAGGGTAACAACATTTGTCGTTTAACATCTGTAAAAACAATATGAGAAAGTATTAGGTGCAACACAACATAATAATAATTCAAATAAGTGAATATATGGCCATCGTTAATTGACCTTACTGCTAAACCAGTGAAAAACAATATCACACAATAGTAATAATACTTTAAAATAAATCATGAAATAAATAACTTGTGAGAAATCAACTCAAATAATATACAGATATTGAAGAAGGGAAACAAGTCCTCGTGTGATAATCATAGGGGGATCAACCTAACGAACATAGTTTCTGAAATCCTAGACTCAGTAATCATGCACAGACTAAGCAGAACTCGGGAGGAACAGACGAGGGAAAATCAAGCAGGCTTTAGACCAGGTAGAGGGTGCATAGATCATATCTTCACTCTTCGACAGATTCTAGAACATAGACACACTTTTCGGCGTCCAACAATTGCCATATTTCTTGACTTGAAGGCGGCCTTCGACTCCGTGGATCGAAAGGTACTATGGCAATGTCTGACTGTGAAGGGAGTGCCAAGAAAGTACATTGCACTAATCAAGGCACTCTATTCAAACTCACGTAGTCGTGTAAGGGCTTATGGGGAATTGTCATCTGAATTGATAACAACCAGTGGTGTCCGACAGGGATGTCCACTCTCCCCATTCCTGTTTAACTTCATCACAGACATGCTGATGGAAGTATCCTTAACTGAACGTAACGACTTAGGAATCGACTTGTTACCAGGGATTAGTCTTCTGAACACCTTGATCAGCAATCTTCGTATGTTTGGCATGCGATTTTCCGTAAAATGTAAGATGCTGCTACAGGAATGGACTACGTCAACTCCTAGCTTAGTGATAGGGAGTGAAGCGATAGAAAATGTTGACCACTTCACCCATTTGAGAAGTTGTATCTGCACCAACGGACTGATTGGCGACGAAATCTCATCACGGATCCAAAAAGCTCGACCTGCTTTCGCTGACTTACACCACCTCTGGCGTAGGCGTGACATCCGGCTATCAACCAAGGGACGTGTGTACTGCTCATCAGTTCGCTCCGTCCTTCTCTATGGCTCTGAAACATGGCCAATACGAGTTGAAAACATGAAAAGGTTGACTGCTTTCGATCATAGATGTCTGCGATCTCTTTCTCACGTTAGGTGGTTTCACAAGATAAGTAATGTTGATGTTAGGCGTAGAGTGTTGGGCAAAGAGGGAAAATCAATCGACGAGGCTATAAAGTTACATAGACTAAGATGGCTAGGTCACGTGCTGCGCATGCCTAACCACCGCCTCCCCCGACGGGCATAACTAGCTGATATAGGTGAAGGTTGGAAAAGAGCCAGTGGTGGCCAAACAAAAACATGGCCTCATCAATCCATGAAATCCTTGACAGCTAAACTGAGTCAGGTAGGGAGGGGGATTCAGACTTCCGGGTTGGGGCCCTCGGGACTCTAGGAATCAATGGCTGGAGACAATAGGTGACATGGCTCAAAATCGTTGTCAATGGCCAGCGCAGATGTATTCAGTCTCTGTAATCTTTCATATTCCTCCTTCCTACCATTACCCATTCTGTTTCACTCTTATACTCTATTGATTCTCTTCACTCATCTTCTTGTGTACCTTTGTGTGCTATTTTGAACGTGGCAACTCGAACTGGTGCACTTCGGTGCGAAGTTCTATGTTGAATCCAGACAGACAGACAGACATCGCTCAAGGCTGGAGAGCATTGAACCATCGATGAGTAAGTAATAAGGAGTCTTTTAGTAGTGCGGTGAGAGGTGTCTGAAAGCCAAAATTATAGATAACAATTAACGTCAATGTTCCCGTCACGAATCAGGGTCATGAGAAAAAAACAATAACAAAGCTTAAGCTTGAGAAAATCACCAGCCAATCACAGCGGAATTAAAGTGTGTAAATATGATTCGCAGAGATACATGACTTGATTTTCTGAGAAACAGCCACAAATAGATGACAGAATAACCTTCAACAAGAAAACAACCAATCAGAAGATGTTGCTTCTTCGCTGCCAATAATTCACATAAAAATCTATAAATATCTGTTGATTTTGTCAATAAACTATCTGTTGCCTGGCCCTTGTCTTCTGTCGTTACAATAGAAAAAAGTTAATGATATATATATATATATATATATATATATATATATATATATATATATATATATATATATATATATATATATATATATATATAATTACCTTTAGAAGGATCCATCTCTAGACTTTGCCAATTTGTATAATCATCAACTGAATTCGTTGATGCTGACATTTGAGATAAAGAAGAAACATGAGGTAAATTGGGATTTTTTGAAGTTGGAACTTTTTCAGACAGAGACGCTAGATTAGATTGTGATTGAGATATTATTTCACTTGAAGTAGTCGATAACGATGATGATGATAATAATGACGACTGTTCTGGTGGTTCTTTAAGCAGATCTAATTCCGCCAACAGATGAACATAATGGTTACTTTGTTTAAATGCCCCAAAACAATCAGGACCAGACAGAATATTGACAATCTGTTAAAAAACAAATAGCAAATATTTCGTGTGATATAATACATACTAAGGTTCATAATGAAATAACGAATGTGTGAAATGAAACAGGTGGAGGCGCATATATTGAGAAAAGAGATAATATCACTAATAATACGTCCGGATAGTATAAATTGAAAATCCGACAGTATTGAGAGAATGTATGCATGAAGGGCATAAATTATGACGAATAATAGTATTAATTGTAATAATAAGCAAAGATACTGGTCTATACTGCACATAGCATCGACGTCAACACAGCTTTTAGGGTTATATACCGAATTCCAAAGTCACTATCACGTACAGTTCGCTTACGTCTCCTACACATAGTTGAAGCTGTTGCAATATGATCGACTAAACCGGAACTTTGTATCCAGAAAGAATAGGTCCAGACGCTGTTCCTAACGTGGCCAAACTTGGATCGATGATTCCTCTTCTTACCAAGAGCGCTTCTTTCCCTTAACCCTCTTGGATTTCTTTTTATTTCCTTGCTTATTATTACAATTATTACTATTATTCGTCATAATTTATCCCCTTCATGCATACATTCTCTCAATACTGTCGGATTTTCAATTTATACTATCCGGACGTATTATTAGTGATATTATCTCTTTTCTCAATATATGCGCCTCCACCCGTTTCATTTCACACACTCGTTACTTCATTATGAACCTCTCATTGCAGTCTTACTATCTCCTGTTTAGAACATACTTAGGCATTTAATTAGAAATCAGTTAACTGGAATAAATGCCCTACATACCATGGTACCAGCCATATTTACTACGTGAGGGTTAGTGAAACTAGCCAGTCGCTTAGGTTGAGATAGGTAGAGCAGAATTCGAACACCACATTCTTTTGGCTTGGTTGAAACCAATAAGATGTATTAATTTTGATCGGACACTAGGTAGTGACTAGTATAATGAGTCGAGGCATTTGTTTTCTGCAGAGTGAATTCCACCAGTCACGTTTACAATGTGGCAACTATGTTAGGTTGTTCGCCATCACGATGCACTCTGAACTGTTACAAGTAGACTGTTGAAGGCAAACAACAAGAGGCCTTGAACCAAAATTTCTTGCTTGTTGGTGGCATACGCCGGTCAGAAATACCTATCTGCGATATTGAAGGAACTCATTTCCCTCCTGAAATTCGAACCCGAGTCACCCAGCACTGCAAACTTAACTGACAGAAATCGGTCTGCACCGAACGAAAGACTAGAAACATTCAACTAGTTACTAAATAGTGTCCAGTCAAAGCATCCAATATAATCAGACGGGAGGTCAGTCGCAAGTTCATATATCTCGGTGGTAACGTCTTCGGCTGCAGCATTGGATGACACGGATTCGAATCTCAGGAGGGATACGAGCTCCCTCAAGGTTGCAGACACACTCTGCTGACTGGTGAGTGCCAACTACCACAGAACCTAGGTGGAATGCTTACTGCCAATCGCCTTCAACCATGCAATAAGATTTGGGAATAGAAACATCAATCATAAACTTTAGACCCCTTAGAAATTGATTTCGATAACCTACGGGTGAAACTATGACTCGGTGATTCTGTATCTTACTCCATTATTATTCCCTAGATAGAAGACATAAACAACATTTCGTTGATTTTGCTGATGTGTTGGCTACCGGTGAAATCTAGGACTTATCAGCTAGATAAACGTACATCTTCGACTGAGATTTATAAAATAAAGGGCAAAAAGGCCGGTAAGCATTTCATAACCAGTGCTACTGCACAACAGTCAGTTACTAACAGCTTGGAAACCTTGATAAACAATTATCTGTAGTAATAGTATTACATACTTCAGTAAACATGTTTCAAAAACACTAGTAGATATTAATGGTAACAATAGAAGAAGTAGAGATAATTTTATCTCTAAGTGATAACTGACAGTTCATTGATTTGATACTATGTAGTATCTACTGTCATGTCTCTCGTCTCTTTCGTTTTGCACAGACTGAATAAAAACAGCCAATCGCTAGCCTGAAAAACATAGAGGTGTTGTCTCTGACCGCAGGACTGCATCGCCCGGGTTTCAGTCTCACAGGGGACAAGAGTTTCTTAAAGGTTGCTGACTGGTTGATGCCAACAAGCATGAAACTTAGGTCCCTAAAGATTCCTGACGACTGCCTCAAACCACTTTCACACAACAATTGACAGTTCAAGTATTGGTTAATAAGGATTTGATTGATTGATTAGAGAATTTCATCATGAACTGAAATTGGTTAGAGAACAATTGGAAAACCTGCAGGGAGTACTGGACAGCTGTTTCGTCCGCCTAGTTTGGGACTCTTCAGCAGTGCGCACCCACAACAGGGTTCGGACCAAGGACCTTTTAGTTACAAGGCCAGTGAGCTCGTAGACCATTACGCCACCGGGACCCAATCCAATGGCCCAGGAATTCTAAATTCTACCAATTCACGATATAGCGCAACCACTAGCCAATGTCTTCGGCGAGTATTTGTCCTCGCACCTGACCTGCTGCACCCTACTGGTCACTGGCGACTAGCCCTTTTCAGGTAGGTAGTTACCTGAGGTTCTAGTGGGAGGTCGTGACCAGAAGGTCCTGTGTACGAACCCCGGTGTGTGCGTACTCCTGAAAAGTCGCAAACTAGCGTGACGAAACAGCTGTCTAGTATTCCCAGTTTTTCCAATGGTTCTCTAACCACTGTCAGCTCATGATGAAATCCTGTAGCCAATTTACAGTTCGTTAAGCATTGCTTGAATGAGGGAAATAATTTGCACTTAAACCATAGTTTATATTTAAGTAGAACAACTATGCATACCTGAGAATGAAACGGTATTAATTGTAGGATAATTCTAGAAACTAATTGTCTTAGAAGGAAAATCGATAAGCGGCAGAAAATAGATTAAAATATGCTTATCCACATCTTATACTGTTTCATTTTCTATGTTTTAGTTAGAAAGCAGTGAAACATAATTTACTGAAAAAATCCCAAGAAGTAAGAATATAACCCAAAAGAGATAAATAATTCGATCAGTTTCCAACTAAAGGTATATTCAGATGGTAAGAGCTAGAACATTGATTCCATGTTGTGTGGAAGTCTCTTACGTTGATTTTATTTCTGCGATATACTACTTTAATCAACGTGTAATCATCTAAATGACCTGTCAATCTCCCTCTCCCAGGGTGTAGAATGTTAGATAAGGCGAGAGAGAGAGAGAGTCAATCGATCAGGTTGTGAGGCTACATCGATTGAAGTGGATAAGACACGTGCTACACAAGTCAAGCCCACCACCTTCCTCGTTAAGCAATCTTAGTCGACACACGATTAGATCAAATAAACACATGGTATCAACCAATGAAGTCTTTAGTTATTGTTTTGAGTCACGTAGGGAGGTGTAGACTATTTGATTAGGGTCCTAGGGATGCTTAGAACTAATAGCTGGAGACTGTTAGCACAGCGGTTAGGACACTTGCCGACCATGCACATGGTCCAAGGTTCGATCCCCTGTCGACGCACACCTGATATCTATGGTCGGCCTGCAAAATTTGGGCTACCGATATCACATGCTGAAAATTCCATACTTGTACCAAAAAAAAATACTGTGTAGTTTCAAGCTGTAATCAAAATTTAAAAAAAATATGGTTCAAAATAGTTTTCACTGGTGCAGGTGCATTCACTCTCTGTAAACCATTTATATCCATTAAGATTTCATGTTTATTTCTATGTTACTACTCTTTCTACTATACATTTCTAGGCATTATAATTCTTTTTCCCCTTTCTCCACCATTCTGAGCTTTATGAAGTACAACAATTTGAACCGCTGTACTTCTGTGCAAAACTGAAACCCAGTAAGTCAGTCAAAATACATTACTAAGGTATGAAGCCTTCTGAACACTTAAAACAAAAAAACTTAAAATAACAGCTAACTTTCACAATGATACTGGTTGTATTGTAGGATTCGTTTATATCAACACCAACACTTCAGTTACTAACGAATAAGGAATATCGATGCGTCAAAGTGTTATGACAACAAAGTCAAAGTTTATTTTACTTGATTAGTTGGAGGATTTCATTGTGAGCCAACATCGGTTACAGAACCATTGGAAAACCTGTGAGTACTTGACAGCTGTTTCATTCAATACGCATCGGGGTTCGAGCCCAAGGTCTTCTGGTTTCAAGGTGAAATCGTATTATTTTAATTTCTTTGTCTAAGACAACTTACTAGTTTGTATGACTTTGTCTGTTATTCATAAATGATAGAAGATATGCAAGTGAAAAGCAACAAGCTGACAGAAGAAGCATCAAAGATAGGACTCCAAGTAAACATAGAGAAAACAGAGGTGGTGATGAAGATTCCTGGCCAACAACAACAACAACGGATAACAATCAGCCAGCATAAATAGGAGGAACCTGAAAGAAGCAACCTCCTTCACCTACCTACCTGGGAAGCATCGTTCCAACTACAGGCAGACGGAACTGACGAGGATATTAAAGCCAGAATCGGAAAAGCAAGACAAGCTTTCACTACTCTTAAGTCTGTGTGGAGGTCAACAGCACTCAGCATGATAATGCGAATAAGATCCCGATTTTCAACTCCAATGTGAAGCCATTGCTACTTTACACCGATCAGAGACTTAATGTGTCATAAAGAGTACCTCAAACAAACTACAGACCTTTATCAACAGCTGTCTTCGCTCAGTACTCAATAACAGATGGCCAGAGGAGATCAGCAACAGGGATCTCTGGCAATGAGTGAACCAACCAGGAACCGATTGTGCAACAAATATGCAGGAAGAAATGGAGTTAGATGGATTGGCCATACGCTGAGGAAACCATCAAGTGACATCACTAGACAAGCCATAGCTCGAGTGGAACCCGAACGGGAAGCGGCGAGTTGACCGTCAGTGTAAGGGTAACATGGAGGAGGTCATGTGAAGAGGAGATGAAAGCATTTGGGCAGAGTTGGAGCCAGGTGAAAACTCTAACAGAGGACCGAACGCAATAGAGATCCTCGGCTGAAGCCCTATGTTCCTCTAGGGATTAAAGGAAAAAATAATAATCGAATAATAATCTCGGTTCGAGCTGTTCTACATACACGTTATCTGCACGAAAAAAGGGCGTATACTACTGAATGGTATAGGCAGTAAGAAAAACTAATTACATTAAGCCAACCAGCAAAGAGAGTGTTTGTTAGCTACTTCGAAGTGGTTAGAACACTGGACAGCCATTTCACCGGTTCGCCGCTGAGTTCATCAGTGCTGTAAGCGGTACAACCTTCCAGTATTGCCAGTATCACTTCAATCTGGCTAGTAAGTAAAAAACTACTGGTTAGTGTGACGACTGGTTTCAAACTACTCGCATCAATCAGTAATATATACTATCTATCATCCATTTATGATATTAACTGGATTACATAATATAATATGAATATTTTCAATTTCAAAAGAAAACTGTGGTGAATTTTCACATCCAAATGTGTAATTAGCAAGTAGAAAATTTAAAAAAGAAGATAAGACACTTAAAACAAATTTAACACATGCGACGATATTGAAACCATTATTATTATTACTACTACTATTAGTACTACTTACATATGCTTCTACCTCAACAAATGAATTAGGATTTAAACATCCCGGTTGTCCAGTAAGTGTACGAAGTGTACGTTGAATTAAAGATTCAGCTGACAACGGCATAAAACGCAATAAATTACTGCATATAGTAATACCGAATGCACGTAATTGTTCAATAGAATCATCAATAGTTTCATCGTCAACTGCTTCAATTGCTGTATCCATTTCTCCGTCATCTTTCTTACTATCCATCAATTGTTGTTGCTGCTGTTCCTCTTCTCCTTCTTCTTCTCTTACCTCTTCAACATTTTCCACAATTACAGCTTTCTTTGCGTCTTCTGTTTTGTTAGACCCTTCTGATGATGATTCAACAAGGCTTTCTTTTCCACTTTCAGATGATACAGTTAAAGGATTAGATTTGACATTATTATTATTATTATCGCCATCACTGTTGTCATTATCGATACCATCACCACCATCGGCATCGTCGTCATCCTCATCACAGGTAGTAGTAGTACTAGTTCTAGGAGTATCATACATCATTTGTTCTAATTCTGTATTTGTATTGTTTAAAGAAGGATTAGTAGAATTTAAACTTCTCATACTAGATTCTACATCAGAGGGTAGAACTTGTAGTCTTGAAGCATCAGCAAGTGCTAACACTGATGGATGAATATTTCGATCAACTGGTGATGATGTTGCTTCCGCTGTTGTGGTTGTTGTTGTTGTTATTAATGATGCTGGCGATAGCTTACTGGCACCTTCACGAAAACTCTAGGAAATATAAATAATGAAAATAAAAAAGGGATAAATGAAATTTTGAAAACCTGCAAAAGAAAAATCACACACAATTTCTTTGAGCTACGAATTGGAACATAGAGCTTAAACATTTGGTGTTTCACTAGAGGTGGTGATGCTTTTTGGGAGATGGAGTTGGGGCTAGCCTTACACTTGAACTTCCCCTTCTTCCAGGCTTACTAAAGACTAGCTGACAGATTTATAAGTAAGTCGACAGGGGATCGAACCCAGATCATATACGTCGTTGGCAAGGGTTATACTATTGAATCACCGACGCATACATACACAATACAATAACTGAGTGCAAATTATTCTTGTAATAGTGAAGAAAATCTCTACCTAGACCAGGTTGATGATTTTCGTGTTGTTGTGTTCATTGAGCTACTAACTGGAAAGGTTTAATTAGGAAGCTATCGTTGTCCGTCTGAGGAGCAACATCTTCATCCAGCGCCTCCTATACAGCACACAATTATGATACACAACTATTGGATCATATCCAAAAGTGGCTGCAACAGCAAATAAAATCTCCGGATACAACTGATCCCGTCCAACATCATGTATAGCGAAGCACATCTAAGAGACGAGCCACTAACACCTTTAAACTCATATATAGAGCAAGCTTGGGTCACATACTTAAGTTCATTGAAGTCTTAGCCATAAAAGACTTAAACCCATCTTATGCGTTCAAACGTTATTTGTTATTACTTTAAAACGGCCTTGGTAATCCAATTTAGGACCAAGGTTCAATTTACTTCATAATATTTTCAACTCCTTCTTTGTGTTTTACTTATTTTTTCTTCCTTTTTTAAACACACCTTTGCGTCATCTTCCCATCCATTATTTGACACCCTGACCTGTACACAATCTAACCTCTATTGTAATGATTCATGCCTTACATAAAACTGTGTATGACTGGTACCTCTGTGTGATCAGAACATCTGAGATATGTTGTGCAAATACATTACACCTTTCAGATAAACTACGTCTGATTATTGGGTTGTTAATGTATGGAATTGTTAGAAGATACACAGTTACCATATCATATTGCTTTGCTGAGTATTTATCTGGTGTTTGAGGTTATAGACATCTATTTCGAATCTATTTTCTAACGACTGAAGAGGACAGAATTTGGTAACGGAATTATTTATTTTGAAACTTGGAAGGTCCCGGGTTCGAATCCCAGTGGGTGCGTACTGCCGATGATTCCCAAACTAGGATGAAACAGCAGCTGTCCAGTACTCCCTGGTTTTCAATGGTTCTCTAACTGATATCAATCCGTGATCAACTCGTAAAACATAACTAATCCTTACAAACCAAACTATAGAAAGACGCAGATATACGCAAAATACATCTCTCATACAGGAGAATCACAATTTGCATACATCTTCCACGTCATATTTTTTTATCTTGCTTTCGTGTCTTCTATGCTGCTTCTAAAGTATTGTTCATTAAATTATATATATAAATATATATATATGTTCAAACCAAGTACATTTTTAACAGTTTGCAAAAATTTGGGTATTGGGTATATGATATTCATTATAATAAAGGTCTTCTTGTATTTCCCAATGAATGAAAAACAAAACGATATTGTTTTTACTGACGTTTCGCTATATAATGCTAATAGCTGCTTTATCAAAGTATTATTAAACCGGAATTTACAAAATCTCAGTAGACATATAACAAAGATTCAAGGGGTGAGAAGAAAAAGAAGAAGAAATATCAAACATGACTGAAACAACTACCCAAGGAACTTCATCAACAAAATCAACACAGACATTAAGTATAACCAAAAATGCATTCCGAAAACATGAACCTCAACAGCCGTCATTCCATATAGAACAGAGATGTCAGATGATATCAGAAGGGTACTCAATCAGCTCGACATTAGTTTTCTTCAAAACATCAGACATACTACGAAACAACCTTGTCCACATAAAAGATCAAATCCCTAAAGATTCTCTATCTAATTGTGTCTATAAAATAAAATGCTTGGAATTCCACGCGATATACGTCGCACAAACATCTCGAGAAATCAAATTTAGAAGAAATGAACACCATAGAGCACCTGTTCAACCACCGAGAAATCCGGTTGAACTACAAAAAACTTGAAAAATCATCAGCCATAGGTCTACACTCTATAGAATCACGCCACAAAATTGATTTTGACAATATTAAAAAAATCCAGAAAAACTTCAGAAATCACAAAGACCGTCTAATATCAGAAGCACGAATAAAACTTTATTTTGATATCATAACAGACGTACTATTATCTTTGTTATTTGGTTTAGTTATCTTCATTGTTATTTAGACTTTCAATATGTCCAATTATAACTTGACGTAAGTTTATTTCCCCCCCCCCCTTAACTCCTTGTTATACATATGCTGTGATTTTGTAAATTCCGGTTTAATAATACTTTGATCAAGCAGCTATTAGCATTAAATAGCGAAACGTCAGTAAAAACAATATCGTTTAGTTTTTCATTCATTGGGAAATATAAGAACACCTTTATTATAATGAATACCGTTAATTGAATCCATCTTTCCGCCGCCATTCGATATTCTTGACACTGATATACATATCTTTTATCTGCATTTATATACTACTTATATATGTTGCCAGTAACACAAGCTAGTATCGAAGCTAACTGATAAAACAAGACAACGAGATCGAAAATATTATATATATATATATATATATATATATATATATATATATCCCTTTTTGCTTTATGTGCGTTTTTATAATTCATGTTACATTCAACAGTGTATAATCGATTTCAACAAAATTTGACTTTTCATTGGACTGAAATTTTTCTAAATAGACCTTAGTTGAACAATAAGCCACAAGAAGACTTATCATCTTCAGGGATGAGATCGTAAATGAGCTATTTAATATTTTCTTTTCTTTAAAAATTCCCATCTTTAAATCATGGAAAAAAACTATCATGAGAATAGGGAAAAAAAGGTAACAACATCTCATAAAATAGCTAACTTTTCGGTGATTTCACCCCCCAGAGTAACTGTACAATAGCAGTTTTATACGTAAGTTTACACATAATTGCAATTATTATTATCATTATTATTTAATTCAACATGATAAGGAGGAGAGATATGTGTAAACTGATGTCTAAAAATGCGATTGAACCGCTTTCAAGGATGAAGTTGGCAAAAAGATATCCTTGCCAAACTTATTGTTCATCCTTATTTTCGTCTGATTATTATGAAGATGTCAAAACTTGTCAGAATTGGGAAGGCAAGATAGACGCCTTCATTATTCTGATATTAGTTTGGAAGTTGTCTGCACTAACTCAGCATAAAGAAAAAGATTTGGATTTTTGACACAAATCTGAAGTCATTCAGTTCTTCTTCTTCTATATGGGTCAGAAATTCGGCCAGCACATCATGAAAGAGCATTTTGAACAGTCAGCTGTAGACTTGTATTGAGAGGTGCCACCTTCGCTGACTCCATATTGAAGATCAAATGGCCAGCTGGTCAGAAAGAATTAACAACAAGAAACTCTGAGAACAAACACCAACTAAGAATCTATTGCTCAACGAATATTCGGAAGAAAATGAAGATGGACCAAGCACACATTGAGGAGACCATGGGATGACATGGCGCACTAGGCCATTGCCCAAGTGGAACTCAAATGGAAAAACGACGAATTGGTCGTGTGTTCGAGGGTAACATGAAGGAGATCATGTGAAGAGGAAATGAGAGACTGTGGACAATCGTGGGGACAGGTAAAGAAGACTGCAGAAACTAGGACAAAGTGGAGATGTACCGTTGAAGTCTCATATCCCATTCAGAAACCAAAGGAATAATAGTAGTAATAATAAGCCCAGTAATGAAGGAAGGTTAGACGTGAAACTATCAACTCTAGCTCATTAAATTACCACCAGCACTACTAAAACTTTAAAGCTTGAAGCCCTCTCTATATCCCACTTAGAAAAATCAAAAGAATGAGAAAAATAGAGACTTAGGTCTCGTTTGTCAGTGTAGATCCTTCAGAATACGTTATAAGTTAGTGCTTAAAGATTTTTGATAAAATGATTCAAAATTATTCATCACAACAGAGCAGATGTGTTCATTTTCAAACACTGAAATATTGAATGTCTTCAATAAGCTCTTCATTAAATTATTCTCACCATCCCACCAATTTTTTTTATTGTAGTTTTAGTAAACTCCTCTACTTTTCCGAAATGTAGCAAGGCATTAAATGTTTTGTTTACTAGTTCGAATATTATCTCACAGTAACCAGCCTTAAAAAAAACTAAATTAAGAATAATAATGAATGTGATGAAGCCAGTTACTAGTACTAATCGAATTACACAAGGGAAATAAATACAAATAATAAAAGAAGATAAGCTGATTTCAATAACTGAAGTAATCTCCGACACTAGGACTGCTAGCCAAAAAGTAACACTTCACTATTACTTACAAGTTCACTTACACAACCCAAGTGTCAAAGATCCTATAAACAATATACCTGATAGAAAAAATGTTATATTTCATGACAGAGTGGTAACTAGAACATAGCCGATTTAATGATTCGAAGTAACAATTAAACTTAATGGTCTAAAAGCTAGCTCGCCTTGTAACCAGAAGGTCCTGGGTTCGAACCCTGGCGGTGGGTGCGTACTGATGAAGAGTCCCAAACTGGGCTGACGAAACAGTTGTCCAGTACTTCCAGATTTTCTAGTGGTTCTCTCTAACCAATGTCAGCTCATGATGAAATCCTGTAACTCGAATAACAATTAAACTATTTTAGTCTTAGAAAGAATTAGTTATATAAGAAACTTTGAAAGTTTACCTTTTACTTTATTGAATTAAACATGATAATTTAATATAACCTGAAAATATATATTGTATATACCCAGATATCATAGTAATCTTGACCAAATTGTCACTTCTACGTTGGATGATTGGAAGTAATCATTAGGAAGCCCAAAACATAAGTTTCGGCAACCGTAAACATAACTGATATCTCTAGAGGCATATCCCAATATACTTGGTGACTCACGCGTCCCAATCTCCAATGACAGATACATCAGTCCTTTGAAGAATGTATATTTGCCTCCTGACGAGTGTCAACTAACAAGCATAAAATTAGGTCCCATGCCTTTTTGCCGATTGCATCTAACTATCAGCTAACATTGATCTAAAGAGATCCACTATCCATGCACCCGCTGAATTTTCCCAATACTGAAGTCATAAATGTCAATACTGAGCTTTCGCTTCAAAACTCACCCTATTTATTACTGTACTGGATATGTTGATTAGTCGCCATGATTTAAACCAATGTGATGCTGTCTAGTTCTTAATGATGCCTAAAATCTTATCATTATTCACTTTCGCAATGTGTAGTTACCAAGTTGCAAGACTGGCCACTAAGATACACACTGAATTGATTTCTCGTAGAAATACAGATGTGATGGAATTTAAATTTAAACCAGAGTCTTTTATTGTCAGTAAATACGATCAATTTCAATAGAAGAGATGCATATATATTATGATGGGTCTCGTTGTTCTGTAACTTTTCAAGTTCAACTAGGGAATTTATCTTCACACTTAAGATGAACATGTATATTACGTGGAGGGGGGGCAATCGGCAGGAAGCCTTGAATCTAGGTTTTGTGCTGGTTGACACTCATCAGCAACTTTAAAAGAATTCATGTCTCTTCTGAGATTCGAATTCGCGTCACCTAGTCCCGTCATCAGTCAATAACGTTACCACTGAGCTATTCGGTCTTACGATTGACCTCCTGTAGGACTGTATTGGATACATTTATACTGATTATAATAAAAATTGAATCACACTTAAAAGATGTTACTTACCACACAATTCAAATACAATCGAAGTAATGTATGCTTACGGATAGAAGTTAAAAAGTCTAAAAGAAAAGAAGAACAGAATATACCTTCATGCCTATGTCAAGTCAATTTGACAATTTAAATGAAGCCATAACAAAAGAAATTATAAAACAGTTGACTGTCTTCTTACAATCAATTATCAAACCTTTGAATCTATTATCAGAGTAACCCGTGTTATAATTTGCCACTTTTTTTCCCGTAGGCTGTTTTTATGTTCTGTCTGTCTGGATTCAACATAGAACTTCGCACCGAAGTGCACCAGTTCGAGTTGCCACGTTCAAAATAGCACACAAAGGTACACAAGAAGATGAGTGAAGAGAATCAATAGAGTATAAGAGTGAAACAGAATGGGTAATGGTAGAAAGGAGGAATATGAAAGATTACAGAGACTGAATACATCTGCGCTGGCCATTGACAACGATTTTGAGCCATGTCACCTATTGTCTCCATCCATTGATTCCTAGAGTCCCGAGGGCCCCAACCCGGAAGTCTGAATCCCCCTCCCTACCTGACTCAGTTTAGCTGTCAAGGATTTCATGGATTGATGAGGCCATGTTTTTGTTTGGCCACCACTTACTCTTTTCCAACCTGCATCTACATCAGTTAGTAATGCCCATCGAGGGGAGGGAGGAGGCGATGGTTAGGCATGTGCAGAACGTGACCTAGCCATCTCAATCTATGTAACTTTATAGCCTCGTCGATTGATTTTCCCTGTTTGCCCGACACTCTAGGCCTAAGGTCAACATTACTTACCTTATTAAACCACCTAACGTGAGAAAGAGATCTCAGATATCTATGATCGAAAGCAGTCAACCTTTTCATGTCTTCAACTCGTATTGGCCATGTTTCAGAGCCATAGAGAAGGACGGAGCGAACTTCTGAGCAGTACACACGTCCCTTGGTTGGTTGATAGCCGGATGTCACGCCTACGCCAGAGATGGTGTAAGTCAGCGAAAGCAGGTCGAGCTTCTTGGATCCATGCTGAGATTTCGTCGCCAATCAGTCCGTTGGTGGTGATACAACTTCCCAAATAGGTGAAATGGTTTTATGTTCGCGGACTTTAGGGCGTAGTACTGTAGAATGTTTCCAGTTTTCCGATTAATTCTGTCTTACTGAAGAGTAGTCGACATTGTTGATAGTATTTCACATTGTGTAGTCTCATGACTATAACTATAAGGACGTAATTCTCATAACTTCTTAGGTATTGATAAATCTTAATTCTTCTGGAAGTTTCTTTACTTATGTACACTGTTGGCCTGTCGACCGACATCTCAGGGGTAACATAAAAACCCAGATTATTGAAGTATATTAAAAATGATGACAGAAGTGTTCATCACAGTAAGCACTGTCTTTCTATACACACTCAGTGTTTTATTTTACCAGCTGTATTTCTTGCATCGTCATGCTTTTTCCATTGTGTTGATTGTTAGATTGAGAACACAATATTCAGCGAAGAGACTCTTTTCAACGAATTTATTATCAAGCTGTACAATCGTATATATGGGTTTTTATAAAGAAATTATATCCGGTGAGGGAATTAGGTCAAAGGTGTGAATACATGAAATAATAATAGTAGTAGTATGAAATGCAATTAAAATATTTTTGATTATAATCATGGTTTAATGTCAAGTGGCAAAATAATTAATGTCATATATAGAATAATACATAAAGTGTATAGATTTTGGGAAGAGGCATATAATTATAGGATTAGTAGACGAATATAAAATGTTACATAACATGGTGTGAAATTTGATAAGATAGAATTCAATATTGTAAAAACAAAAAATATAAAAATTAATAATTTTGGGTTTAAAATGACAAGTGGTTCACGTGGAAAAGATTCAGAATGAGAATAAACATAATAATAATAATAGTGACAATAATAATAAAAATAATCGTAGTTATAAGGGAAAGGTACATAAAATAACTAAATAAACAACATAAATAAATAAATGTCTATCCAATATCGCTGAATCACTCGTTTTGATTTTCTAAATGTCTATCCCTCTATTGAATTCTGTCTTATCAAATTTCACACCATGTTATGTAATATTTTATATTCGCCTGCTAATCCTATAATTATATGCCTCTTCCCAAAATCTATACACTTTATGTATTATTCTACATATGGCATTATTTTGATTGCATGGAGGATTTAATCATGAGCTGACATCAGTTAGAGAACCACTGGAAAACCTACGAGCTCGCCTTGTCACCAGAAGGTCCTAGGTTCGAATCCCGGTGGGTGAGTACTACTGAAGAGTCCCAAACTAGGACGAAACAGCTGTCCAGTACTCCCAGGTTTTCCAGTGGTTCCCTAACTGATGTCAGCTCATGATTAAATCCTCCATGCAATCAAACAAAATCCCTACAAAACCAATACTTGAAAATCAATTATTTTGCCACTTGACATTAAACCATGATTATAATCAAAAATATTTTAATTGCATTTCATACTACTACTATTATTATTTCATGCATTCACACCTTTGACCTAATTCCCTCACCGGATATAATTTCTTTATAAAAACCCATATATATACGATTGTACAGCTTGATAATAAATTCGTTGAAAAGAGTCTCTTCGCTGAATATTGTGTTCTTAATGCTACAATGGGAATTATTAGATTGTTAGATTCTCTTCACTATGTTCTTGTTCCGGTGCTGTTTAACTCTAAGATTACTCGAACACTAACGTTTCGTTGTGCTATTTAGGACTCTTTCACACATAGATATAGACACATCATATCTAGTGCTACTTTGAAAGTGAGAGGAGCTCCATGAGAATGCGAATTAGCTGTTCGCGTCATCAATAAAGATGGCTTTTTTAATTCGGAAATTCAGAATCATGTGGCTAATTTGGTGTACTTTCGACCGTTAATACACCAAAACAAGCCATCAGTTGTTCATGAAGTGTTTGACTATTGATTTGAATCATATATAAAGGTAAAGACTGTTTGGATAAGATCCAAGAGATGTGAAGAATCAACGGTCGAATACTGTTAGTGAAATGACTGGAAATCGTTCACACTGAGGCAAATGCACCTACTAACACCTTGTGATATTCCAAAAATTCATGAAATTCTCGTTATTCTTTATGTTATAATTTGGATAAGTAGTCAGACCTGTCATGTTTACAATGAGACTGGGTCAAGGTAGTCTGGATATCTTAGCCAAGAAATATCCTTATTGGCTATCTTCACTCTCGCAACCCCATTGGCCATATATATATATATAAAGTGAACCCCGAACGTAACGACTTCATAAGATGAAATCAATCGTTCCAGAAAACTATGCACTATTATTTATCCTGTGTCCTGTTCTTCTTTACGTCTCGTGATATTGTTATTTCTATCTGCATGAAATTCTCCTGGGTACCTGATTATTAGTAGGTGAGTCATTGAGTCAATTTCTTTTCCAATTTGTTGATATAAATTAGGACAATACAAACTGACAAACAGCGTGGTACCTTCTGTCTCACTTCTCTTCATTTTCCTACTAATGAAATAATGACTCAAGGAAAACTTCGAATAAAGCTGTATTATATCTGAGTGATGATAGGTAGCAGTGGATTCCAGGCGTATTTTGAACTCATCTACTGTTAGATATACTACGTGCGTCCTGAGTGAAGGCTGATGTTAACACTGTAACTCGAATCTGGCACCCATAGTTGGTAACGACAAAACGTTGTTATTCCACTGCCAGGAACTATCAACTAGATAACACAACGCTAGACTTAAAGCATCACTGAAGCGTTTATGATAAGAATCGAGCACTTTGAGTTCATAAAATCAATCAGCAGGCAACTCAAAAGTAAATATTTCAAATATGAGAGAGTTTCAGAAATTTCAACTTAGCCTGAATAAATATACCAAATTATCAGTTCTCTTGAAAAATATAATATACAACATTTTCGTGTATTTGGTTAAGTATTCATTTGGTTGTATCTTTATTTAATCTAATAAAGATCAGGTAAGCTACCTACTAAAATTTGACAAGTATTTATCACTATTAGAATCCAGTTGGCAATGAGCCACACCTATTGTATGTGTGAGGGCTAGGTGATACTATCTGGCTGCCTCAACCTCAATAACTGTAGCGGGATTCCAATCTGTGACTCACTAGTTCAGAACTGAGAGCCTAGATCAATGAGCCACAGCAGCGAACTATGGTTGTCTATCACACCTGTGTTGGAGAAATCCAATGCATGTAAAGTATAAGCTACCAAGTCTAGCCATCCTAGTGAACATTTATAAATTTAACTATTGCCCTAGAGACCGTTACATAAGTAAAACAACTCGGCAAGCCCACCGACGCCTTATTGAGCATTACCCAACGCGGTTAGGTAAAGGAGCCGTAAAGTCAATCAGGAGTTGCATATTGGTACACCCTGTAGACACAGATCACAAGATTGATGAAAAATTCCGCCTTTACAATTCTATGCAAGGTATCACCTGAATTTCCAAAGTTTATATACCTTTGATTACTAAGCATAACTGAGGTATATAATTGAATTTTAGATTTTCCCGTCGATTGATTGGACCGAAGTGCTCGGTCTCAGGTTGACATACTTGGCGTTTGAAACTATGAGCACTGGGTTCGAGCCTCGGTGGGTACATCATCACCCACTGGGAAATGCAAGTACATCCAGATAATGAGTCCAAAATAGGACGAAATTCACATCTTGGAGTCCACTGCTAGTCACCATCCACCAATTAAATTTATAACTGAGGTAGTTACCAATTTTTGTGTTGAGAAGTCCCTCCAATCCCTCTCCTTCGTAGGCCCCTCAGCCCCGACCTCAATTTCACAATTTATTATCATTATTATTATTATTATTCCACTTAAATTCTCCTCGATTATACTTGATTCAAATGTTTACAACTGATATTTTTTAGTGTAATTGTAAAGCCTGTTGAGAATTTACCGCCAATACTTTGTTTGTTTAAACCGTGTTCTAATATTATTTTAATGGGAATTAAATCTAATTATTGAAAATCTAAGTGATTGTGTGGTATGACCAACCACTAGACTATCCACAGAAATATAGATTAATATTCCCTGTAACCATAATACCATAACATAAAAGATTATAAATATGATATAATATGCACATAACATTTCAATTAAAATGTACTCCAGTTATTAAAATAAAAAGGAGAGATTACTCCTACAGGACATCAGAGAATTTTTCGATTATACAAATAGATATGTTGCACGAAGCATGGAAATATATACGGCTCATTTGGTGTAAGTGCTTAGATTTCAATCAATCAGTCCACCGTTCGAATCTCGCTCTGCATACTTCACCTGAAAAAATTATTAGTATCATGATCTCCTACATACAATAAATGTGACTGGCAGTCTGCCTGATATGCATGAAAGATCTGATCCAGGAGTAAGTGACATCAAGCAACACAAAAAAGAAAGAAAATATAACTTACCTAAAAAGCTGACAACTGCAACACTTCTAGACATTAATTCTTGAAATGACATATCATAAAGTCGTGCACCAGGTTGTAAATTATATACTAGCACGCGTTCAGGCTATTAGAAATTTAAAAAAAAAATAATTACTTAATAAGAGAAATACAGCCTTATAATTGCTTACTTTCTCAGCTATACCTTCTTGAATTTGTCGTCGACGAATTGAACATATCTTTCTGACATAATCAAGACTACCAAGTTGAGCTTTAATCAGAGCATCTGTAAAATAATAAATAAAAAAATACGGACAATAGTTAAGGAAGTAAAATTAATCTTCAGAAGTAAATACAGCTTATAACATACAATTGTTGTTAGAAGATGGTTGGAGACAATCACAGCAGAAAGCCTTCCTTCACCTAGGTTTCGGTGCTTGTTGGCACTCACCAGTAACAGTCAGCAAAGGCGTATATCTACAATCCTGAAGAAACTCATGTCTTCCCTTTAAGATTTGAACACGTCTCACCCAGTGCTGCAGTTGTTATTCAGGTTTGCTATTGACCTCCTGTACGACTGTATCGGGTACTTTTAACTGAACACTAGGAGGTAGTAAGTAATGAGTGTAATGTGTCTAGTCCTTTGTTTGGTGCAAACTGAATTCCGTCAGTCAAGTTTGCAATGTGGCCACCACGCTAGACGGCTCACCATCACGGTGGACTCTGAACTGTTGTTATTAGATAGTTGGAGGCAACCGGCAGGAAGCCCTGTTCAACTTAGGCATCGTGCTTGTTGGTATAGTAGTGAGCACGGTGGCCACATTACAAACTTGACTGATAGGGTTCAGTCTGTATCAAACAAAAGGCTAGACGCAGTATGCCACTAGTTACTCACTAGATAGTGTTCCAAAAATAACACACAATATTGGCTAAGATTATTTGACACAGCATACAGTTATGCAGCACTATTAATTGCACAACACTTTGGATAAAATATACTAGTCATACTCGTATAAAAATTACACTAGACAATCTATCTATCTAGGCTTATTTCGGCGTCTGGCAATATACTCTAAAATTTTGAAATAATAGAGATTTGTAGCTCAGATAAGTGGTTTTGATGTGATTGCGTTCTCTAAACTGGACAGTTTAATCGCGAAATCTTCATCGTCCTTCTGGACAACACGTTAACCTTAATATGAAGTGCACCTACTATTTGGATTCTCTGTGAGTGATATATCATTGTATTTCTTTTCGGTTACTTTTTTCTAAAAGGACAATGAAAGGTTCTTGTATTTAGACCTCCCAGTTCAGAAAACTTAACCACATCAAGTAAACTTCAAAGATCCTTTTTCGTTAGGGAAACATCATGTGAAGGGATTTTGATGTGTAATAATAAACGAATCTATAATAGTAAAACATACCGTAAGAAATAAACTAAAGGGGGATTTTTGTATTTTCTGTCTGTCTGGATTCAACATAGGACCTGGCACCGAAGTGCCTCATTGACTCAAATACCTAGGTATCAGCTAGTGGGTCACAGAGTTCGAGTCTCCATTTCACCGACTTCAATCTAGGCAGAGACTGGGTAGTATAACCAGTCCTTACATGATAAATGCGGCTCTCAGTCTAGTACATGAAAGATTTCCGAGTTCAGATGTCTGTATATGAATGATGCTCAGGAAGGCTTCGTATGCTCTTGGAAGTGTGTAGGCGGTTGTTACTTCTCGGCCGCCCACATCGTGGAAATGTATTGATTCTTCGGATACCTGAAACAGAAAGAGGGTTAGTATAGCATGACCGCAGAGCCCAGGAGACAACTACTTGAGAACGGTCACACACACCCTATATGAACTGGTTTCTGGGATTGGTTTCGTATTAGTAAACTTACCGCCGGTTACGGACCACCGTAGGGTAAGTCGGGATGTACAAATTTTGGGATCCACCTTTTTTAACTCCGTCTCTCCTGAGTGGAGAGACAGCATAGCTGGCATGCTGGTCATCTGAGGGAAATACCTCACTGCTGTTACATCCCTGTTCCTTAGCAGTACGACTTCGCCCACATACCCCCAGCATGGTGTAACAACAAAAGATGTTACATTAAGCCGGTGACTGTTTTTAGTCTAATCGCTATCCTAACTACCTTCCTGGCATGGTAGGAGGTGCAGGAACAGTAGTTCCAGACAGTGTAGCTTGTTGGGTCATTGTAATGTGCAAGCCCCACCACCAGATCAGGGTAGCAGCTATCGGTCGGGTCGAGTTCAAATATTAGTATATAAAGCTGATTCAACTGAATACAAAAAAATCACAATAGTAAAGCAATCTGTATGATAAACACCATAACAAAACTTACCATCATCGCCACCAGTATCATGACCTCGTAGTTTATCCATAAAACTATTCAACTGACGGATAACAACATCAATTTCTTCAACACTTTCTGACATACGCAATGAATGACAATAATATTCACTTGTATATGCATTCTCAGAGGCCTATTTTTTATTAAAAAAATAGATATAATATACTTTTTAATAGAGGTTTTCAGTGAATTCAAGTAAGATAAATAAACAAGTCAGTTCATTTAAAACAATTTCGTGTTAGTAATCGAAATTTCAACCAGAGTTAACCAATCAGATGACAAATGACTGGACAGAAATGAACACTTATAAATACTGACACAAACAAAACAACTTCGCCAGCAGCAAAAAAACGTTAAAAAAAAACAGTCACAACTCAAAAAGCCGTTTTATATAAGACTAAAACCAATAGATGTTGGGATTGAATTGGAATGTAGAAGTTGCTGAGATCAGTAATATTGCTTAAATCAAATTAAGCATCTCTTTACCATGAAATCCAACCATGAATCACGAAGTAACACTGTGGCTTGTGCGAACTAAAATGAATGACACAAATAGTATGTAGTGTGAAGTCTTCTGTACAGATGGAAGGCTGATGAGAAGAAATGTGGGACAGAGAGGTGACATTCTAAATGAAACCGAATAGCTGATAGGAATGTAGAGTCATATATCCCTAACAGATAGTGAATATTAGTTTTAGATATTGTGATGAATGTGACGTATATCATTTCTATTATTACGGAATATAGTGTCAAGAATTTAATTAGTGGATGCTGACTAGCAGTGGAATCCAGGATAACGCGCATTTCGTCCTACTTGGGACTCGTCGTCTGGATGTACCTACATTTCCCAGTGAGTGATGATGTTCCCACCGAAGCTCGAACCCAGTGATCATAATTTCAAACGCTAAAGCGTTATCCACTAGACCATTTGGGCCACGAGAGCCACCTCTTGTTCAATGGGTTATGGTAATTTAATTGAATTTTAGATTTTCCCCTCGAATTTACAAATGGTACGATTTCAGAACTATCCTTCAAGAAATAGAGAGCAAACACTAGCCTATTTTGTTTTAAATGCAAAAAAGTCATATTTTAGAGAAAATTACAAACCAACAAATCTATGTTTATGGAAGTTAATACACTGACTATTTAGGTTACCTTATACGATTTAATTCAGTCAGATAGAATTCAGAGTAAAGGCAAATATTGATTAATGGCAACACTTTCTTATCTGAATTTCATTCAGAAAGTTGATTAGAAGGATAATCTTTAAATTAAAAGAAAAGCATATATTATCTGCTATAATGAGTACAGCATGTGCATTAACAAACTTTCATTTCTGTACGGACATCATACGCTAAGCAATCAGAAGTCATTTCCAAAGTATGTTAAACATCCTTCAAAAAAAGGTTAATTTATACACTTTTTCGCTGAACGAGGTATGCGATAGTGACAATGACTAAATGTTATTAACAAACAAGTCGAGATAAGTGTGTTCGGTTCTCCTGGAAACCAGTTTATAATTACCCAGTCAATGGGTACAACATTAGGCAAATTGTACACCGTCAGTGATCTAATGGTAGAATGCACTCCAATCACTCGCGTGGTTCGGAATCGATTCCCGGACGACACACTCTAAAACCTTGTCTAATTTATTAGCTGACAAACTCAGAAAAGATGGAAGATTTAGCGTGAAGCAGGCAATCGCATCCCGTAAAAAACACCACTGCTACTGAAACTTCAAAAACTCGAATCTTTATGTTTTGCTGATAAGGAGAAAAATGAAAAATGTCATTAATATTCGATGAAACATTTCTCCCAGAACTGCTTGTAGTTGAATACAACGGTCGGTCATCATAATAATAATGATACAAAAAAGAAATGCAAAGAAAATATAATAGACGATAATGGAAAAAGAATAATTACAAGGAGAATATTGAAAATTTGATGAATCCAGATCACAAAAAGTGAATGACTTAAAATAATAAAAACATACAACCTCCCAGAAACCATGTAATTAACTAAGAATGAAATCAGAAAAAGCAGTACACAGTTACTTCCTTCTTGAGAAGGAATGTCATATTGCCTTACTGGGTTATTAGTAATGACAAGAGCTTTCAACTCATGAGGTTTTACTCGTGATATTTCAAGTTTTTCTCAACCATACAATTTTTCAATAAAATTGATTTTAAATTTTTGAAAAGCAAAATTTATGCCTCACAAGAAGTTTGAGTATTGAAAGTTAACCGAAGGGAGGGTTAGTCAGCCCAATTTATGCCAGAATCGTTTTCGTGTGGCAGTTGGAATATAGTTACACGTCTTTGGATTAGCCTTCCATTTCGCTTTCTGAAAACTATCCCCCCATTTATTGTCAGCTTATATCTTTCAGTATTGACTAGTGGGAAATTATACACAATACTCAAACGACTAATGTCTACCTCGAGACAGTATGTGTATCTCAACAGAAAATGAAATCTGTAATGTATCTGAGGTGGCACGTTTCGTTGTAAAGACAGTACATAACTTTATTTTATGGATACATCCTAATCTCAATCAATTCCTAACTGATTATATAAAAGATTTTCAACAAGCAAAAAACAAGAAAATTCAGATGCTAGAGCCTTTTTGAAACGCGAAGACACCAAATATTCTCGTCAATCTATCAGTCTACAAATTTCACTAAAATAAAATAATTCCCCGATAGCCCTAAAAGCACTTTCCATATCAGCATTATGCTTACGGCTGAAGATCCAGATTATTTCGGAGAATTACAATGTTGAAAAATGAATGTAGTGAACTAAAGCAAACAAATTGTGTTCCTGATGTGTAATATCCGCAACAAATTGCCTGAAATTTCACTTTCTTTATACTAGAGAAGAATGTGTATCACTACAAAACAACCACTATATAAAATCAGGATTTTAAGTACTATTAAAATAAATATAAATTCAATTTGGAGAATGAATGCTTTAACCTGACGAACACAATTATTTGGGTACCTAACTTTTCAATAGTTTGAAAATACCTTCTGAATTTTGGAGTGAAATGTGGCAGCTTAAGTTCCTAATTGGTTATTCAAACTTAGAAAAAGTATTTAGGGCTTTATTGTGTAAAGGCTTAATGTCTAAGTCAATGGACCTAAACTCCACATTAAAGTTAAAGCACTCCATATATTAGACCAACAGAACAAAAATCAATAAATTTCTAATCAGAAAGCCAGTATAATAGCATACTCCTACATGCTGCGTCAATAAACTTATGCATTCTACTTCACTTGTGAACAAAGTTACGGGAAAAACATACTTATTTGTAAACCAAGAGGTGTATTTGTTTAGTAACAAGATAAAGTAGCCATAAAATGTATCGTGAGATAAAAAAGTAAATGCATAGTGACTCACAAACCATGATATTGTTCTGTTCACGAAGTCAGGATCAGACAGTAAATTGATTGTTGGCATAAGAACTGAGTTGACCAATAATTCCTGAAAAGTCACAGAGATAAAATGACTTACCCTAGCCATATACCGTATAGCAGGAACACTGTACTCCTCAACAGGCGTAATAAAGAATAAGAACATATCACTGAGTAAACGAAGATGATCTGCAAATATATTAAAAGCACAGACATACTGACCTTTTTCCCTGTCCTGAGAACTACAGACTTCCTCACGACACACGTTTTTCTCCATTTCCGCTTCTATATCGAAAAACAGCTTTACGGCGTCTTATGATACTTAAAAAAGTATATCCTGGAAAATACCTTTATCTGGATAGGTTATTCTGCGCTCCAACATAGTCCTATAAAGTCGAACGTGAGTTGCCAAAAAGGAAGGCAAAGTTTCAGTGAGAAACGGTACCCAATCAACCTCCGACACTCTGGGGAAGATAGAAAACCAATGAAAAATAAGTACCTTTTAACAACAGATGCAAAAACGCGCAGAAGAAGCTTATGAAGCTCCATTGGGAATGCGTTATCAGGAGTAAGTGAATTGTACCATGGAGTTATGTAGTCTCTGATTATGAAACTCACGATCTGAAAAATGAAAGAAAAAAGAAGGAAATACCTGATTAAGTACATCGTCAAGCTCTTGATTTGGGGACAGACGGGTATTCGGCTTTGCAACGCCTTCCGCGTCCATTATCGCCGTAACCTGAACGAATATAAATAATCGCAGTACATACTTTTGGAATCCCCTTGGAAAACAAAAGCCCTCTCTTCCGAAAAACAACTGCTGGCGGCTCTTTAACTAAAAAGAAACTGCAACAGCTTTTCAGACAAATATTACTGAGATCTACCCAGCAAAGAAAGCAACCAGTGCAACGAAGAAGTAGAATATAAGAGTAAATCCATGGTGCATGAGAATGCAGGCACCTGTTATGGTGAGAACTATGTTAAACGCCAACATCTGTTAGTCAAACAGTAACGCTGCATTTACATCTACCGCTGTTACTGTATCAATTTCAACATCTGGTTAACTGAACGACAAGATGTAAAATAATTTCTTTTGTTCAGAGTTGAGGCCATGATCACCCATTTCCAACATTCTTCGTAGGTGGTACGTCTGATCCCTAAATTGCAGTAACTTTGGTAGAGCGTAGTCGAATGTTAGTCACAATATACTGGTAGTTTGTGTACTGTGTTATGACCGTGATTGAGAGAAAATTACCACTTTCGCCCCCTGACATATATCTCTGTCCAAGGGAATGAGGTAAAAAGGACAGTTATGACGCCAAAATAAAAATATTTTGGAAAATTATAAACAAACGAGTCAGTAAGAGGAGTTAATATAAAGCCGAAACTAAACTTTGAAGAAGTTAGAAACACTGTAAACCCAGTGGTAAATTATTGTTGTCTCAGAGTGCAAGGGTATGCAGTTGGTTGCATACAGTGTTTCGCTATACGTTTATCCGGCTGCCTTCACAAGATAATTATAATGGTCGCTGCTACTTATGAAGCGTTTTTCAGGTGGTACAGCACAAACTGAATGATGTGTGAGTGCACTCCAGCCTTTCATCACTGATGGGCGATCGTTGGTGGATCATCTTATCGTTGTTATTTTGGAGACTTATGGTATTGTAAACAGCTATTATGCCGACGCTCATCAAGCACAGAAAGACGTTGTTTCCAAAACCTTACGAAATATGCCTTATTCCTAAGGACATAAACCATTTTATTCCCTTTGTTGTGCATGCATTTCCTGGTGTTTGACGTCTCTTCTGAGGAATAGTGAGGTTATGACATCACGCGCCTTAAGTATTGGTTTCACAAACCTTTCATGAAGCTAGATTAAAGCTCCTGTATATGTTCTACAGTTATATTCAGCTCTGATTGAGCTCGGAGGGCTGCAAACGCATTGTGTATATAACACTGCGGTTAGGACTCTCGCCGACTATGTACATGGTCCGGGATTCGTTACCCTACCGACACGCGCTTGATATCGATAGTCGGCCTGCAAAATTTCAGCTGCCGACATCATATGCTGAATATTCCATATTTGTGCCACAAATACTGTGTGGAATCAAGCTATAGACAAAAATTACATCAAAATGCACTGGTCGATTCTTTCAGATTATTTGTCATTGTACCGGAGTCTTTCATAACCACGAGACCAAATTGTCTTCATGAAGAACTAGTTTCAGTGACATGGGAATTAAGATATGCCCTTCGGTTACTCTGCATTTCCTGAAAGAATGTGAAATTCAGCCGGTTGACGCCAGCTCTCTGGATACTCATGATCCATTCCGCAGCCTGTGCTCTTTCTCACATTATCTCATCACTTTCCGAATCTCTGCGCCAGTAGAATACAGGTATGCTGAGTGGTTCGTATTCGAATGGAGGTCATCGAAGAATATAGATAACGCTAAGTGTACTGAACCATGATTTTTATGGGAACAGTTGTATTTTGTCAGGAGCACGATTGACAAGGGTTGTCCTGAGGTTGCGACGTGATACATAGCATTATTGGTTATGCATTCTAGGTGGTTACAGGGGTCATTAACTTCCAGGTACTTGTCAGCAACCAGCTGAAAAGTTGGACCAACTATTGCCTGTTTATTAACCAGTGAAAAGCCGTGGCCTATGTGGGCGATGCCTTTAATAGCCAGTCTGGTGGTACCCTCTGTCAGTTGCAGTCGGCTTCACCAGGATGAGAGGACGCGATCAATATTTCCTTCTTTCCATCGAGATAATCTTCAGATCACCAGAACAGCGGACCTCTAAGCCCCACCTGGCGTATTCAGTGGACAATAACATCATATTTCTGAGACCCCTTCGTCATAAAAGATTGCGTTTTTCCTCTCTGATTTCTCTTTTCCAGTAGTGGGATTCAGTATACTAGCAAACTTGCCCAAACCTTGGTCGAAACTGCCTTTCACCAGGCTCACAATATCATTCAGCCAAGGCTCTAAACCCTCCTCCTCTAGACGGGAGCTGATCTTTTTGAACTCTCTTTGCAGACGAACTGGTAATCTCTTAGCAACAGTCTCAAGCACGGAACTTGAATTCAATTCATCTACGCAATTAAGAGACACAAGAGTGTTTCTATATACCATTAAACTGTCAAAGAACTCTGTTAGTTCCTCTGAAGTATCGTTTAACTGTGATCCATTACCTTTCACGGTCTCAAGAATACTACGGGATATCATAAATTGCCTTCCAAACATTTGACGTAGTATCCTCATGACTCCTGTGTATCCTTCGTTCGGAGACATAAACCTTCAGCACTGTATGGCTTTTGTAGCAGCACCAGTGCAGTACCACAACAAATACATTGACTTCATGTCGTCATTTATTGCGAACCCACTCAACATGACTTCAAACTCCTTTACAAACTGTGGATAGTCAGCTGGGTTTCCGTTGAAACACTGAGGCTTAAATTTAGAAATTTTAAGATTTCCATTATCCCTAGACGGCGAAACATGGACATCAGTCTTGCCAAGCCTAGTGTCACACACATCATTACATATAGCAGGCAACTCATCATTATTTACTTTCCTGTCTGCTTACAAAAGGCTTTGTTCTTTCTTTGACCCAGACATTATTGAACTTGACTAGACAATCCAGAAAAGTTCCAAATAACACTTGTCCAAAGAAGACGGGCAGACGCGAGGAAAGACGAATTGACAACAAATAAGACGAATAATTCCAGGAGAGTTATCAGACTGCCAGTGTACAGATCTAACTACACTGGACTTCACACTGTCCTTGGAAGACTGTCAGGAACTATGCGTAATAACCAACGCAGAAAAACCAGAACACAAACTGGTGACTCAAGAACCCTTTATTCTTGCACCAATACAGAGCCAACCATCAGGTTATTGCACACAAAGTCTAAGAATAAATGTAATAACAATAAATCACAATAATACTTCTGACAGTTTCTCTCTGTCTTCCAACGAACAGAGAGCGATGAAACGATGACTGGTATCGATGACTCCCGCCAATATATAGAGTTGGGTTTGAGCAAGCAACCACGAATTGATCGTTCAATCTTCAAGTACATTGACAAAACTTAAAAACATCTCATATGGGAATTATATTTCCACAGAAGATAAAGGTATATACATTACCTACAAGTGCTAATAGTGAAGTGATATTAGTGGTGCATTCACGAAAATGAGGTATTTACATGACTAACATGGCGTTTCACAGACATTGTCATGACATAAATACTTGTTAAACAAAATTCGTTATCATAGTTTACACTCATTTTGAGGCGTAGAGACAATCATCAGTGTGAAAAATGTCGTGGAAATAAATACGCGCACACTGCTACTAATATTTAACAGTTGTGACACCAATCCACACCACGAGAATACACTGAAGAATAATCTGTTAGCGATTTGAAGAACCAAAGATACATAGAGAAGTAAGCACTGTATAAAGCTTTCATCAAATTGTCTACTCAACATAAAAACTACGAATTAACGGGTTATATCCAAGATTATTCGAAGTAATATGAAAAATCAGACCTCAATGTTTCAGTCAAACCGAATCAACATTTCAAATTCTACCTTATTTATCCTGAAGATATCATACTTATTAGCAAGAGGAGACGTCTGGCTGAATATTTCATATGAACGCAAAATCTGTAGAAAATTCTACAATTCTCAACTTATACAGTGAATTATTTTCTATATAATGCAGCGGAATCGCATCACCATGTCTAGTGAGAGCATCCAGTTTAAGCAATGAAGGCAGCAGCACAACTACGAGATTCACGTTTGAGTAGATCATGTATTAATATTTTCGCATGCCAATTCAATCTGATTTAGCCTTTTAAGTGACTTTTCACATCCAGCCATACTGCGTATACCAACATGGGTTGATGAAAGTGTGAGACAGTTCAAATTACAGAACCTGGTATCCTTGTCCTAAATATTCCCTCAGCAGCACACCTACAATGTACTTAGTACTTATGTTTTCATAGATCCAGAGATCAAGGCTCACATTATCATACTTCTTACTTACTATTGATTTCTGCTTCAACCGTTGTTCAACGCACTCCCCTATCTTCAACACTTTATCATATTTTTGAATCCGGTTTACCAAAGTTATCAACACCTCTGTATTGATAATATCCCATTTTATCAAAAAAATTAAGTGATCACATGAACGATTAGGAGCTTATTTACCAATACGAATTTATCAAGTATTGGTTTTGTAGAGATTTTGTTTGATTGGTTGGGGAATTTGATCATGAGCTGACATCAGTTAAAGAGCCATTGGAAAACCTGGGAGTACTGGATAGCTGTTTCGTCCTAGTTTTGGACTTCCCATCAGTGGGAAGCCACCGAATTTCAAACGGTTGTCCAATACTTTCAGCCTTTCCAATGGCTCTCTAACTGGTGCCAGCTAATGATGAAATCCCCCAACCAACACAAATTTATGTTTGTCCTGCAGCAATTTATGCATTCTTGCGCTTGCTTATAATTTGAACGATTTTGGGATGGATTGCTAATATTTCGTTGTATTTGGTTGAGTTCAAGTCTTCTAATTCCAACGACTTCTTTGTAATAACAATAAAAAATCCCACCACTACCTCCACCACTGTCAATGGATGGCAGTACTTCCGTTTTACTTAGGACAGTATTATTAAGTAAATTTATTCATGTAAGGCTATCAGTGTCTAACTAAGCCTAACTAATTCACACATCAATCAGAAAACCAACGAAACACACATTTAACTGAAAGTTTCACTTATCATTCGATATGCACTATTTGGGAATCTTTTCGAAGCTATACCTTTATAACTGAAGGATTATGAGTGTTGCATGCCTTTTCTTTTTTACATTACACATACGTATGCGTAAGTATGTGAGTGGCTTGATTTTTGTGAAGGTGAATTCACAACTTCGCTCACCCCCCTAAGAATGCGGAAAGTGACTTGCAGCAAGGTGCATGATC